ATTGCTCAGCTCTAATCGGCCGGGATTGAATAATTATATATACACGAATCTCTTTAGGCAGATAAATTTCATGTAAATTCGATTCACTCACTTGTTTGAGAGCATGCTACTTCGTGTCCACCTATGCACAATTGTTCCAAATTCTCATAATCAATTATGATTTTTTACTCATTAATCACTTTTCACTTTGAGTAATATCCTTTTATGGGAACATTCCTAGCATGATTTTTGGCCGAACTAGTAATAGGACATTTCTCCTTGAAAAAAGCAAGTTATCAAATACTCGCTGAACATAAACTATCAAGTTTTCTATATTTAATTGGAACGATTTTTCAGCGTAAAATACTTTCTTCAATACGGGTTCGAAAGTTTTGATAACATTGTTTTGAACACATTTAGTAGACTTCTTTATTATGCACGCTTTCACTACTTTTAATGATCTTTGTTTTATGACAACTTCATTATTTGTCGAACAGTGATACAAATTTAGATACGGCTTTTATTTGAACTGCTTCTTTCTTGTCATAGCTTGTGAGCAACGTCAAGCCTGGCCACGGAAGCGTGAACTGCGTATTTTGGCACCCGCGCATTGGTCAGATATTTTGTGGCTCATCTGATGGCGTCGTGACTGTGCATTACGATGCCTCTCGAAGCACGCGTGAGCTTGGCGCACTTCGATGTGCTGGTCGCGCTACCACGGAAGCCAGTCGGCGTCGGCGAATTGGGGAAGGCGAAGCATTCATCCGTCCCACATTACTTTTTTATGATGAGGAGGATCTTAACCTCGCCCGGAAGACTAAGAAAGGCAGGCAGGCAACACTGGATGCAATGGCTGCAGCTACTCCAGAGTTGGCCGAGACCATGCTCGCATTGGTGGCAGTAAATGCCACTCGATCGGCAGAACGCCAGGCTACTTTAGATCGCATGGATAAAGAGATAAAGGCACGATCGCGAGCTAAGAATCCGGAGAAAACAGAGGAAAGGGGAGACAAAGTAGGCAGTTTGCATCAGTACATGGTGCAACAGATCGTCCTCAGGCCAAACGAAGCCGATAAACGAGCAGAGGCAGACATTCGAGGAGCTATTCTTCGCCATGCGGAGGCCAGCAAAAAGCCTTTTTGGACCAAAGCCTACACCAAGTATGCTACAGTTTATCTTTTTAATAGCCATAACTAAGTCAGATTATCATTTGATTTAATTAAATAGCTAGTCATTTTGTTAGGCTTGTTTCCATAAGTAGGCGCTGACCGACAGACAGAGAGATAGTAGGCTGACTTGATGATTTGCGCCATTTAATTGCAGTAATTTAGAGCACTACACTTATGATTGGAAAATAGTCGAGACAGCAAACAGCTTTCTACTCCTCTTGTCTTTCTCTCAGGCTATTTATTTGCTATAATTCACGGCTTATAGATATCATTGCTTGATGCAATAATAAAATATCTTTACTTTACTCTTTTAAACCATGAATGTGTATTGATTAAATCCAACTTTTAGTATCCAATTTTTTACCCTATTTTATCAGGACCCAGCCAAACACAATTTTCCAGAATCCCGAAGAGGAGGTTCGGAAGGACCCAACTCCTACTTGGAAAAAAAAGAAACTTGCTTGACTTTTATCTTTTATCAATTTATTATTTCAAATGTACACTCGTATATACATCATATTGAGTATTATTGTTACCTTATTCACCTGTCGACAGTAATTTTGAATTTGTGTCCGTGTATAGGCATATGCATTTATATGTATATTGGCGCGTGTTTGATGTGTCTTTATCCCGGCAAATATAGATGTACACCTGTATATAACTAAACTAACAGTTAATGTTAATTAGAGGAATCTTAGCAACACAAAAGGGTTCTTCCTACGTCCTTCAGTCATATGTTTTCGCTTTGCTCATTCCTGTATATAGCTCATCGCATTGGTAATCTTATAAAGTGCATACATTGTTCATGTCCATAGGGTCTTATGAGTATGTATGTTTCTTATATATTTATTATTCTGTGCTCAAACCAGGGCAGGCTTAGTAAGTCACATATATTGCATACAATACTTCAGTTTTAATAGAAATGAGGCCGATTCGATCAAATTACATTAATCTCTTCTCTAATCATGATTTTTGCTCAAGAGGTAGAATACCTTGTATTTCTGGTTATACTAAAATTTGAAACATTGCTAGTGGCTCTTATATACATTTGTTTGATTTAGGCTGGTAATCACATATCAGCATCATTACCACACACTACAAACTATGTATCAGGTAGGGTTTTGCTTTGGCATATTTATAGACAAGTCAGCAATAGAAATTCATTAGAATACATGGAAGAAGTTCGCTGAGCCTCGTCCCTTTGTTATCTCAGCGTGTTGAGGGAAAAATAATAACTATGTGGAGTAAGTTGGGTCAAAAAGGTAGAAGAAATAAATATTCGAATAGGGAGTTTTCGGCGATTCAAGGCAATCACTTTTGGATGGCAGCGGTTCTTGTGCAAAGAATTTTCTCTCAAATGCTGCAAATTGCTTTCCGATACTCGTTTATCGCCCTGTCTCCGGGTGCATTAATCTTCGATTGATTACCAGCCAGCAGATAGTAAAGGCATTTCCAGATGGTGCCGAGCTTGTTTGTCCCTGCTTCAGTCTGTCCTGTACTCTGTTTTTACTTAGAAGGAAAGCCGAACTTGCATCTGATTAGTGAAAAAAGTGAGGAAAGATAAGACATATTTATAAATTTAAAAATAGTTTGATCGAATATATGAAGACCAAGATGGTGTGGCCTTTTGTGTGGTCGCAGTCCACGTCCACGGTCCGACTTTGGAAATAATTATGCATACAATGGACTCAGGACAAGGTGCATTTATATAAGTCTTCCTACCATTATGACCAAGTTGTGAAAACAAGCTCAAACAACTTTTTTTTTAATAGTTTATTATTTCTGGGATATGGCTGTAATTGTGACTGTTTTCATACTCCTGTGGCCTTGGTGCTGTTTGAACTTATTTCTCTCTTGTTCTATCAATTCTGATTTAATATATAGCTTAATAGCCTTGAAATTTCTCATTACGTCATTAGGAAGAACTTTTACTTGGCTAACTCATAATAGGAGCTTCCATAGCATCAAAAGCATGCTTATAAGAAATGTATTGCTGTAAAAAATAGTAAGGACTTCTATTTATGCATGCCTAGTTTTATGGGGTTGCTTTCGCTTACCTCGTCTAGTTCGCCGATTGCGGCGAATATGTCCGATACTATCTACTATGATTCCTCAAATAACTGGTGGCAGTTAATCTCTTATAGGCTATTATCCTACCTTATAACTTTTCGTATTCAGCGTAACAGACTCTGACCAGCAAATTCCTATTCATCGCAGTCCGTCTTCAAAATGGCTTAATTTGTAACTAATCTTGAATTTAGAGCTGCTGGCGCTGATAAGCACTGGCTACTGTATTATGAGCCTAAAGCTTCTCCATTGTTATAGCTCATTTAGTAGTAAAGTGGCGAGGCCACATATTCCTCTTGTCTAGGTCAGGAGGTAGACTTTTGTTGTCTCCGCTGCCTTGTCGAAAGTCACGCTTTGTCAAGTGGCGTCAAAATGCGGAACAATAAAAACCATCCCCAAAGTGCATATTTTTTCATTATTCATAGCATACACCGTAAAGGTACTTCCCTCCTAAGGAGGTATGCTAGATCTGTACAACTTTGCATTGTGTTTGGATTCTTACCTAATCTAAGCTACGTCACTGAAGGTCGAGTTCGGGATCCACGCGCCCCCTGGCTGTGGGCTGTTCCAGCATTAGCCCCACCGTCTGTCTGTGTCATTCCCCTAGGTCCCCCTGATTGCCCGGTTCTTGCTTGGGGTCTAGCCCCTACTATTTGAGGCGCCACTGGTCTGACCGACTTTCCTGTACTTTGGTATCCAGTAGCCGGCGGCCCTCGTGGTCCGACCGGGCGATTTCGGATGTCGCGGGTAGCTGCCACTATGCTGCCCCTAGCTTGCGTGTCTGGCTGTTGTAGGAGTGGTCTAATCTGCTGCAGTTGTGGCTCTGGCTGCTGTTGTAAACAATGCTGGGGGTAGGTCTGTTCCCTGGATTGCTGCTTCGGTAACTCTTGCAGAAAGTTGGATGGCACAAGACCACGCTGTCCGGTCACTGTCTCACCGGTGTAGAATCCGTCCTCGTCCATCTCACCGTGCACGAGGATCACGTCGCCAGCTCGAAATGCCAATTCAGCCTGCAGCACGATAAAATGGTGGAGTTGAATAAAATGAAAATGTATGGGTAAACCAGCTTGCTATTTTGGAAGGGCAAACTAGAATGGACGAATGTTAGGCCTTCTAATTATGACTAAGCCCCTCATTTAGATGCAATGCCTCCGAAACAACTTTAGGGTGTGCATATGGCGTCCGTTTAGACAACCTGAGAACCAAGATGGTTGGAGAGCCGCTAAACATTTTTTCAGAGTAAGTGCACTTTTTTTCGACTGCCTTAATCTGATCTGAGGACAATTTTATCTTGGAATTTCATTGCTTCATGCAGCCCAACGGTGTCCTCACTCGAATTCGACTGAGATTTCGACTTAGCTTAAGTATTTTCATCTACTACCGTGGGATTCTGAGATAATACATGTTGCTTTAGATCAACTTAGATTACCGTAAGATCGTACGAAGTCCTATTACCATTTTTGCAGGATGACCCTGAATGTTGGACGGTAAAAGCCTCAGTCAACTCATACAAAGGATTTTATCCTGAACTGGCACGTCCTAGATTGTGCTTCTATCAGAAAGCTAATTTACTGTTATTCTCTGAACCCTTCTTACAAACAAAAAATAAGTAATGTAGTTGATTGCTATGGCAAATATAACTGCTTCATCGACAATCCCAACACAGAATGCGATACGGGAGAATGTCTGGCCTTTCTTAGAATTCACACCTGCCCTGTGACCCAAAGGCGTTCGTGAAAGTGTTGCGTATTGGTTAACATGTCTAGATTCTACGCCTCCATGTCATGGTTCGAGTCCTGCTGGGGGGGTGTTCACTCCAGTCCGGATGAGAATACTTCTTAGGAAGCAAGGCTGTGAAATTTAATGAAAGCGTAAGGTTTACTCGTATCATTGTGGGAACATCCAACTATCATGACCTTAAATCGAGAAATAGGTAACATATCTCAGCGCTAATTTGCCCTTGTCTTCGAAACTTCGTTGGTATATAATTTGGCGCTAAAATATGGCTCTTTTAGCTGGATACCGATTGCAGAATTAGCGAGACTCCTGATAATGGGCCCTATTTATGATCACATTCAGGAAGCGGAGAAGATTGTTGTGCTAATTATTTGCAATCTTACAAATATGGCCAGACACCATGTTACGAATAAATATTTCATAAAAAATTATTTTGAATGGTCTTTTGTCTCCCTCCCAAACTTTGATGATCACTGAGCATTTGTTACGTCTACTTGCTCTCATGAACTGAACAAAAAATCGAAAGAACAGTCACAAAGTTATCTTGATAATTCCACTTACCTCTACGTCCACGTTCGGACTGAGAACATGTGGGTCGTAGTCGTGCAGAGCAATCATCCTGCGCACCTGATTCCTACGGTCCAAGGCACTTCCAGATGCCCCTGTCATCTGTGCTTGTTGAGACTGTTGGAAAGATTTTTGTGGCTGGTGCTGCTGTTGATTTTGCTGAATTTGCTGATGATGATGGAAATGCTGATCCTGCTTTATCTGGCTCATCTGCTGGTTCACCAGTTGCTGTTGATAACCGTTTGGCAGAATGTCCGTAGCCAGGCTTGCTGCATGTGGTACGTCCGGACGCGGCGGCTGACCAGAAGTTACTGGTCCCCCTGGATACACCATTCGGACCCCAGGCCCAGAGGGTGCCATAAATGCTGGTG